ATTGACTTATTACTTTTTGATGACTATTAAAATCGTTTTTAAACTATTATAATCTCATTTTTGAGAAAAGTCTATGGTAAGATTTGTGTGGTTAATCAAAGAAGCGTCTTGCTCTTGCTCTTACCAATTCCCCTGTATGGATTTCTGATCCCATGCAGGAGGTCACAATATCATGCGTATCAGTAAGCCTTTACAACCTCTTTGGACTTGCTTATGTTTTTGAATTCAGTAATAGTGGAATTCTACTCTCAGAGTTTATAAACATTCGAGAACGTATAGTTTAACTTATAGGCGAACCCGAACGGCAAACCACGAAAAATCTTATTCAATCATACAGATCGCGAGTCAATCGCATTAAGCGGCGAGTCACCCTGCACCCCAAAGTTTGCGAGCCTTATCTTATTATACGTGAAAGATTATATTTTCTTTTCAACATTTTTTTTCTCTTATTTCATTGTTAACCTACCGTAGAATTTTGCATCAATTTCGGTTCTTCAACTTCAATTATACAAAGAAATTAGATTTCTATGATAATTATATTAAAATTATATGATAATTATATGAAAATTATATTTCTATGATAACTCAATTTACTAAAAAACCACCTTAAATATCCATAATGTAACGAAAATATATGCTTAGTAGTCTAGTAGCCATATAAATGTGTGTGTGTGTGTTGTGTATGTGTGTACATACACGCACACACACACACACACACACACACATATATATATAAAAAATCTCTTGCGTAAAAAAATCTCAATACTGAAGATATAGTGATATATATAGTTCGATAATTAGCCCTAATACCGAAAGATCAATAAATGATCTAAAATCGTGAATACTCGCATAATATTATTACGCACAATATAGAGTGTGCGTACATCGAAGTGAAATAAAACAAGTTTTTACTTCCAAGTAAAAAAATCTTTGTGCGCTGGAATCTTGTACACTTCAAACATGCACAGGATAGATTTCAAATATTTTTCCTATTAATACAAGTTTATGGAATGACATTCGTGAGCCAAAACTCTACAAATGATCTCGATTTTAATCGAGCGATCCGCATTAAAAATGAAAATCTTATGACAAATCGATACATGCTTCAATAAAATAACATTTTTTTTACATTAAAAAAAACGAGTAGATGCGACATACGAGTAGACACTTACATACGACAGTCGTAGATATAATGGACGGCATAAAGTTGGTTCCCGCAAGATCCTCCAATCAGTAGACTACTTTGGCGATAGACACACCGTTATGAGCAGAATACCGAATTTAGGTACATAGAGAAGACGAAGTAGTATCCGGAAGAGATTTCCAATCATAAGGATAACCTACGTAGATATTCAAGTAAATGGTAGGCTCCTTACAAAGGATTCATGGTGAAGATCTCGCGGGCCGTGTCCTAGAACCTATCTTTACCGCGATGAGAGCCGAGAGTACCCATTCCTGACTGAGGAGAGTCTGGATCGGTCGCATCCTGTAGGTACTGCAGTTCCTGCAGCTCCTGGAACTTTTCATGATCTCGTATATGTGCATAATTAGCAGATAAGCACATCAGGTAATGTATCAAGCTTAGAATCACAAGCATGCTCGCCGCGGTCGCCAAGATGAACATCACCTCAGCCTTCTCTACAAAATCCTTACAGAACAGCTTAACTTCTTGGGGTCCACACACTTGCATGTCCTGCACCCGCGTATTATTTGGAAACATAAAACCTGAAATAATATAAATTTGATTGCTCTTTATCAGATTTAAATTTTTACGATAACAAACATTTAACATTTAATATACTATATTCAAATTACTATTATATACCATATAATAGTAATTATAATAAATTGAAATAAAATAACCATTTTTTTAAATAGAAGAAGGAAATACGGATTTAAATACAATATTCTAGTTTCAATCTACTCATATATCAATGTGACACAAGTGAAAACTTACTGAATTGAGTAAAATCAATGCAATCATCAAGAGATTGAACACGTGGATTGCTGCACAAATTCCAGAATATAGTGAATATCAGCGTTGTAATAACCAAGAATGCGAATATCAGAAGCCAAGCTATTTGCAGAATGTAGATGATAGTCATAAACTAAAAAATTAAAGATGTAGCTTGTAGTCATCAGAAATTTTTTCACTAATATGAAAATAATAAAGATTTTAAACTTTAAATACTTACGACAGCACAGGATATACGTCCACCCACTCGGGATCTCCATGCACGATAGACTTTGTGCCTCGTAGCACCAGTTGCAAGACAACCAACACACAAAATCATGAATCCTAAAGCTGCCATGCATGCTCCGACTGATGCAAACACTAACTGCACCGCTTCCAACCATCCAAGATGCAGGTGAAACACCTAAATAATTTAATAACTTAAAATTTATAGAATCTAAATTATTTTGAAAAAACTTATCAAGTTCTCATGCTTTTTACCTGATCCATCATAAGAGCACATAACGTTGCACCTCTGTACATGGTTCCGCAGAAGATTCCAACTCCCAGACAACACATAATGGTTGCTATAAGAGTCGCATATGGCACTCTGGCCATGCATTCGTTGCACATGTTCCCTAACAAAAAAATTCCTTTACATTTGTCATTTTGTTATGAGAAGCATCATACATCGATTTATAAATTTAATTGAATCATTCACATTAAATTTCATTACAATTAAAATCTAAATACTATAACAATAATGTAACATAATTTTTAATTTAATTTAATTTAATTTAATTTAACATAATGTCACAAATAAATTTTACATAGATATACTACTCTAAATCGTTGAGATAAATTCCAATTAATAAAATCCATTACAACAAAAAGTAAGATTCAATGTTTATTGCATCTACATTTACAAGTCATGTTCCTATGGATGTTTTCCATTTGATGACATAAGTTGACACAAACGTTGTTCTATCTTTTTTGATATTCAGAGAGATAAAGATAAAACAACACTTACGTTGACTTGTGTCGATTTGTGTTATCAAATGGAAAACACCCAATGTATAACAGACAACTAAAGACTACTAAAAATCTGCAGTTTACATTATACATAGTATAGATTTTTTTTCAGTATTAATAGTAACAATATATAATGACCTACGTTTGTGTCATTTATTATCACATTTTAATGGCAGTTTTTAAATACTTACTGCAGCTTTGTTCGTTTGAATTTAGATCATGTAAATTACGTTCAGAAAACCTATCCAGGCTAACATTACTCCCAAAATTACCACGCAGTGGCAGATTTTCTCTAGCTTGATGTAATTCGCGTAATCTTGTCATTTTAATATAATTATAACAGAAACAACAAATGACTTAACAATAACAATGAATGCGTGGTGAAAGCTGGACGTTCAGCCAATGACTAAATTATACTATCGACGATGACTAATCATTTATCTACAGTTCAGTCAGATAACGCGCGACATGTGTCTGAGTATATTCGCTAATGACGCCAGTTCATTCACAAACTCGGTAATATAAACGTGTCATTAGCGTGCTAAATTGTCTTGGACAGAAATAATTAGCAATTATAACAACCACTCTATTATTATCGACAACCATTCTTTCGCTTGCGTGCGAAAAATCATCTGTCTCTTAATAAAACTTAACAAGTTTTCTTGGAATTAATTCATGCTCTAAATCATTTACATCACATTATAATTTACATCACATCAAAATTAGCTCAGCGTTCATTAATTAATTTATTATCCAATATAATTAAACCAGAAATAGTTCCAATGTTTACAACCGTATGGCTGTCGTTGTTATGACCCCCACAGTGGTATTCAATACAGATTGTGAACTCTTAAATCAGACTGTGAACATCACAATTGCGTTATAATTTATAACAGAAGAGCGACAGACAGATTTTTGTCAAGATTAGCGTGGACTTACCCATTTTCGTAGTTCGCGTCGCCTGCTTGAGGTTAGTAAAGAGACAGGATGGGCAGCGCCCGTACACGTCGCGGAATCCGCGATTACAGTAGCCGTTTCTCGTTAATTACCGCAGCGATCACACATCCCACGATCGCAGTAGCGAAGGACATCCCACTCACGGTTGCAATCGCTGAGTGCAAAAGAGAAAGAAGGCGGATAAAACTAACGAACTCGATGAATTCTTAAATTCTATTAATTATGTAGTTGTCTGTGTGCGAGATCTTATGCTTACACTCTTACAGGATCTTTGATCTCCGTTCACAGAACTTTACGATGACAAAATACTATTGCGTTATTCGCTTGTTTACCATCTGTCAGAATCACTCCGGGAGGCGACGCAACGACGGATTACGCGAACCATCTGCGAACGGCTCCACGGATGATCTCTCTTGACGATATTATCAATCTTATCACGTGCGTACGCGTCGGATTTTGGGAATCACGGGGAATGACTTCCACGGGGTATCTCCGGCCAAAGACGGCATCAACATGGCGTCACGCTCCGGAGCGCGTCCGTTACGTTCCGTATGGTGAATGAGATCGTTGCTCCCGCAGCGTCGAATCGTAGGGCGCGCCGCCGTAGTAAACGCTCATCAAAACCGTCGTTCCCTTCAATGGAGCGAGGCTTGGTGGGAGTGACGATGACCGACTGTGACCTCGATTCGATCGAGGAGTCGCGATAATAATACGCCGAAGCGACCGAGGATTATATTTTAACAATCCGATATAATTAAATTTCGAAGATGAAAGGATCACAGGAAGATAATGTGGGAAAAAGAGAAACCTGCTGTAATATTTTTACGTGAAAAATGGAAATTATTATATTTCTTATTACACATTCTTTTTTCATTGCTGTTCGGCAAAAAAAACAGCGATCATAATAATGATTTAAGTATATTATCTATTGATAAAACAATAAATATACCTGCACATTTGTCACTTTGAGGAGATACCGGATTTCGCAGAATGCTCTTTTACATAATGCAAATAGTGGAAAAATTCTCAATTTTATTCCACTCTTATAAAAATTATTCTCTTGTCTGATCTATAAAAATAAATATCGACATTAAAAAAATATTCTCGTTAATTATTTTTTTTATTTCATTATTTAACGAGTTTTCTCTTTCCTTTTTTTTCTTATTTTATACAATTGCAATAGTAATTTGAATCAAGCGCGTATCAAAGAATATAATATATATCTTTTTATATCATATTATCGTATACTTAGAAAATATTCGTAAAGTCGCAATCAGATTAGAGATTGAGATTAAGATTGGATTGAAATTTAATTAATCAGAAGAAAAAAACTAATTGCAAATGAATTTTAATTCATTAAATTAATTAGTTAAATTCCAATCCAATTCAATGTCTAGCCTGATCACAATTTCAAAGCTTTATTAACTTTGTATAAACTCTATCTATAAATCTATGCTAATTTATAAATTTATAAAGCAAGCTTACAATCTATAGGCAAAGGTAATTTCTCGTACTATACACAATACTTTATACTTTCAAGCAGAGCTACCGAATGCCTTTATGCATTGGCTCTATGAAATACTTGATAATCGTTGGTAATTGTAGAAGCTTCTTTTTGACCGGTATCTCCAAGTTTTGCTGATGATGCCTGTTATATCGTGTAACTGTGCCGTCATTAGTCTCATATATTATGTCACTGTTGTGACTTTGCGGACTTATCTGCAACAAACCCCAATTGATAAAATATAAATATACTCAATCATTAATCGAATGATTGTCTAATAAACTATCGTTAATAATCTGTCCGGAAAGTTAAATTAATAACTAATTAAAATTAAGAAATTATATTTAGATAGTAAATTACAGTTAAGGCAGATCCGTCCTGATAATCGACCCTAATATTTCCGGATGACAATTTGGTAACAAGGCCAATTCCTGGCATAGCTATCTTCGTATTATGATTAGAGTTACGCATAGAATTCATATTGCGTGACCTAGAAGTTCCTGTTGACATGACGGAACAACTAGCGTCGAACGACGGCATCTGAAAGATATTCAATTTAGCATTAATTTAGCAACGTAAAATAATTAAGCATTTTTTCTGCTACTTACAACAGGAGATTGTGTAGTGTGTGAGATGTTTTCTTTTCCCTGAAGGTAGGGAGAATCACTCAAGGCTGTATTGGGCCGTCGTCCGATTATCACAGGGAAGCAAGAATGTCCAGTGGCTGCCTCCAAAGATGCTAGAGTAGATTCCAATAGCAAACAACGCTGATAACATTCCGAGTAATGCTCATAATAGGTCTCGAGATGCGATGGGAATGCACCCTCAACAAACGTGGCACCATTGTTATTAGTGATCTTCACCACACCGTCTGTCCGGACAACCTGAAATATAAAAATATAAAAACTAAATATAAAATACAAATGTTAAATAACAAAGTTTTCATTTTATCACATATACATAACAGAATGATTAAATCAATAATTGAATACCTTTATGCCATTATAAAAATGCACTTCACAGTCGGGTTGTGGACCATTTTCCATGAATAGGCACTTCGAGCGTTGAGTGTATAGTGTTAATTTTGGGGTTTTTGCCTGAACCAGTTTCACGAAACGAAAGGCATACATATATTTTCGATGATGACACGCTGGTAAATTTTCATACGAATAAATACTATCGGCACCCCGATTAGGCAATGGTGGTGGTTGCGAGTCAATCTCCACAGTCGGGTTTAATTTGTAAAGAATAATTCGCAGACCATCTCCTGATATTCTACACACTTCGTTTATCCTTTCCTATGAATTATATTAGATATTTTTATGTAATTTTCTTGTAATTATCATACATACATATATGCTACTTTTTTTCATGAAAGAATATGATATTTCCATTTATATGCATTACTATTACTACTAGCAAGCTTTGTATTCTTTACATACCGTGCCATTTCTGCGCTTGATAAATTCAATGCATACTTCTCCATTATCTAGAATGGTGAGTATCGCACTTTTCGTTTTGTGTCTTTTAGGCTCTAGCCTATTGGAATTTAAAGGTAACACTTGTAACTTTGTGCTCTTTTCAGTTCCTTCCGCACTACGGTTTTCCACATTGTTTTCTTTCCTTGGCTTGTGCTTCTCTATCAACCTTGATTTCTCGGATTCATTATAAGCATTGTAATTGCCGTACTGTTCGTTTTGCGAAAATCCTCTACTACGTATCTGAATCAAAGAATCATCTTTCGGGCGATAATTAGCGTATCTCATTCCACGATTAGGATTTGATTGCATTTTCGCAATAGGCTCGGATAACGGCTCGCTTCGTACACTAACCATAGGCATCATTGGTAACGTAGACATTCTTTCCTCCGATCGAGATCGCATTTTTGGTCGACCATACGACGAAAGTGTCCTACCGAGGCCGGAGTCCACCATATTAGTAAATGGATTTTTGCTCGTATTATTTCTTTCCTGAATAAACAAAATATAAAAACATGAATGTATTGCAATTATTTATGGACTGGTTAATTTAATGGCATTTTCTTTATTATCAATAGATTTTATTATCAATAGTTCTTTTTGATTAAACTTCTGCATAATTCTTTTCTCTGTCTTTAAAAGATAAAAAAAAATAAACCATGCAAAAATTCAGTTAAAAAGAACAAATCTAATGATTAATATATTCACATTGCATTTAATTGCATAATTGCTATATCTTGAGTACCTGTATCCTCACTTACATTATGTAGCTTACTTTTTTCTATACTCATTATAAAGGCATGCTTATGAATATCCCGCAAGCATATCCTGTCTTTCGGATTCTTCTTCAATAATTTATCTATCAAATCCCTTGCATTTTCTGATAGATGAAGTGGCATTACGTAATCAGCCATAACTACTCGGGTCAGAGTACTCTTAATTGCGTCTGTCTCAAACGGTGGCTTGCCTACCAATAAAGTATACAACATACATCCCAAGCTCCACACATCTGCTTCTGGCCCATGTGAAGATCTCGTAGCAACCTAAAAATTTTTCAATGTCACATTCCTGCGAAATATGCAATCTATATAGCGACTTTGAAAAATTACTTCGGGCGAGATATAGTTCGGTGTACCACACATAGTCAAATGCTTTTCATCTGGTTTACTCATCTGTGTGGCCAATCCAAAATCCGCTATTTTCTATGAATATAAAAACTAAATTAAAAAAAAAAAAAAACTTTTTTTAATAACAAATACTGTTTTTTCTCTACACATACCACTTGCATATCTTTAGTCAAAAGTAAATTGGACAATGACAAATCTCTGTGAAGTATCTGATGAGAATGGAGATAAAGCAAACCCTGTACTACTTGTTTGATTATGTAGGCAGCTAAAACAGTAAAATTTTGTTATAATGGATATAACTTAATATATAATTTATAACGTATTAATTCTTATGTAAATATACCATGTTCTTCAGATAGAGTTTTAGTGCCTTGTGCTTTGAGATAACGTTGAAGTTCTCCATTACGACATAATTCTAAAACTAGATACACGTAATTTGCATTTTCAAAACACGTGTATGCCTCCAAGATAGCTGGATGTTTCAATTTTATATGTATCTCTACTTCTTGTCTAACTCTATCCATCATCCCAGCAATCTGCATCATTTTCTTGTCGATCTAGAAATAAATATAAAGGAGATAGAAGATAAGAAAATATAACAAATATAGATTGCTCATTTTGAAAAGAGAGAAACTTTGCAATAAACTTTGGGTATAATAAGGCTGAATATATGGATTTAAGCAAAATGTGATCTCAAAATTTGACATTGAAACGTTTGTCAAGATTTGCCAGAAAGTTGTGAAACTCTCAAAATTTGACATTGATCCAATTTCTTTTACCCAATACTTCAAAACATGCAAAGATCGACAAACCATTTTATGCGTTTCAAAGTATCTCATATTCAAAGTATCTCAGGGCTAGCAACAATGCAACTGGTGTGATAGACATCTCTCAATCCAAGAAGAAACAGATAAGAAAATTACCATTTTGATCGCAACTTCTACGCCGCTGCGGCGACATCTCGCACGGTAGACGCTTCCGTAGCCGCCTTTACCCAATAAATTTAACACTTCATATTCCTATAAAAGAAATACAAATGCATCGGTTCACTTACTCGCGCGTTACCATAGGGCGACGGCGCAAACGGGCACAAATTCAAAAAGCTAACCTCAATGTGCTCGCCGAAGCCGGCTGAGATCGCCGGCATCAGGCAACGCATCGCGCCATGCTCGAATGGTCGCTGTCGATCGTCGATAACCATTGGCACCACAATAATGATACTGTCTCACACAAATTTCACCGGCGACGACATTCTTGATTGAAATCTCACTCGACAAACCGTAAACACCAAACGTCGCTTGACGCCGCTCGCCATATTGCGCTATATACAATTTGATAATAATTTGTCGGCACTGTCGCCACTGTCGCATCTCGCATATGCGTAATGTGAGACAAAAATGACGGCCTAACACAAATTAAAAGATCCTGCACTAATTATATGGAAAATTGGATCCCGGTGAAATGAGTTGGTTTTCATATATGTTGTAGCTCATTCTACACGAAAAAAATCATGTTACGTTACATAATGAAATCATGTAATTAAAACGTGTAAATCATGTAATGAATTGTTCCAAATCAGTGCGTAATTTTTTAAAATGATGTAATTTGAAAAATCACATATTAAATATTAAAAATAATATTAAAAATAATTTCAGCTATCATATAATTTTATAGTTATCGAATTTTAATAAATTGAATGAATAGAAATAGAAGAAAAAAAGAATATTTATCATTATGTGATTTTTCAAAATATATACATAATTTTTAAATCACGTTATACTGATTTAGAATCAATCTGTTTATATGTTTTAATTACATGATTTCATCATGCACCTGTGTGACGTAATTTTTTTCAGTAGAATACAATATGATGGATAAAAAATATTATATACAAATTGCTTAATGGGTTGCTGGAGCGACGACAAAACTTGATCAATGTCGATAAAACAAATTTTTAATTTCAAATAAAATATTACGTACATTAATATTACATAAGAAAAGATTCATATATTAATGAAAACATTACGTACATTAAGCAAAATCATTAAGTAAAATGTTATATACACTTCTTATTCTGCTATATTCTATATAACACATAAATACGAAGTTATGTACACTCAAATCGTACTTTTCAAGCCATTTTTCTTGTATGCTTCAAAATCATAATTTAAAGATCTCATATTCTTATAAGTTATTCAAATATGGGAAAATACTTTTGTTTGAATATATCCTTGCATTCATATTTATATATACGTGAAGGAAGCGAACCTACATAGTAACAGAAAACTGTAATTTACAATTTTTGGAGGATTTTTTATTGGTTTGTACTTTTCCAAAAGTATTTGCGTTTTTTTTATTCTGGAGGATTTTTTATTCTGCATAAGAAAAACAAAACGATTTGAGAAATACGAAATAACGCTCCATTGATAATTCCAGCATTCTTTAAATAATGGATATAATTTTTTAGCTATCCATTATCTGAGCCATGTGTATATATGTATAAACGCGTTAATTATTATTCACATGTCAGCAACGAAAAAGTTGCAACACATTTTTTTCAATAAGTTTCGAAATGCAGTCTGTTCATCGAGCGATTGGTTATTATTTATACATTTATAAATAAGAATCAAAGAACCAATCGCTCGATGAATAAGCTACATTTCAAAATCTATTAAAAAGAAAGTATTGCAATCTTTTAATAGCTGACTATATATATTATAAGCTGTAACATATGTGAAAACCAACTCACTTCATCCAATTATTCATATAATTATAATGTGGGATCCTTTACAAGCCATATACATAATGGAAATAAAAAATATTAAAAATATAAATAAATATTAAGTATTGGAGAAATAAAAAATATTTTGATAAAATAAAATATAAATTTAATTATTCACATTTTAATAAATTAATTTAAATATGTATATGATATAATAAATAATAATTATATATATTACATCTTCCTACATATATTACAAATGTTATGACATAAGATACATATTTCGTATAATGCATTTATTGCATTTAGTGCACTGAATTCAATCTGCGCACTTTGTATGATTTGGGCATAAATCCCGCTCGCTAAAAATGCCATATATTCCAAACAGATGGAATATATAAGACAACAAACTAAACAACACACAAAAAAATGAATTCTTAAAGAAATGCATAAATGCTTTAATCCAAGAATACTTTATGCTTAGAATAGTGTCAAGAATAAACAATTTCCAATTAACAATAAATTATTCGTAAAATAAAATAAATTTTAGTTCAAAACAAATTTTATTTCGATAAAAGAAAGTTGCATTCGTTCAACATTAAATATGTTTATATTAGCATTATTTTTTCTTTACTGATATCTTTTGTCAACTTATTCCAAACCTTCTGTATGCTAATATCAAGATAGATGACAGAAACCAATGCTGCAGTAAGTGATGATAGCTTTGTAAATAAAATGTCATTTATAAAGCAAGCCTCTTAATGAGCGCACGAGGTATAAGCTCCCAAGGAAAAACTGAATCAAACTTGGATTATATCCTCCACTAATGTAGTTCAAAGGCAAGTGAAATGCTGAGACCGTTCTAACAATCCGTTAGCCGTATTGAAAATAAGGATGCAAACAGATCAACCTTGTCACAATGGAGAACACTGGCTGCATATACAGACAGATCCGCGACGGATTCATTGTTGATCTCACTCATTTAATTGTGGATAACAGATCCGCGAATCCGCCGCGGAAAATCCGCTCATGTGTATAGACACTTCTTCGTCACGTCGCAGTGTTAAAGTCGGCCGGCTGTTCCTCATTTGCAATATAACTGACAGAAATATTAGAATGAGCTAATATTTCATCTACCCTTAAAGATTGAACCACATTTAGAGGTATATTCCACGAATGCAACAGTTCACTCATAAAACCACCGTCATCATTTACTTCGTCCGTATGCACTTCCGATATTTTAATATTACTGAGGGCTCTTATACACTGTTGCTGCCTGCCGCCGAATTTTCAAATTTATAATTCTTAATTCAAGGATAAATAATGCGATTGAGTTTGTTAGAACCATATAATGATTTTAGAAACAAGAATACAATTTTAAGAATAAAATATATTTTGCATAAATCTATTTATTATTGATGCCAGTGAATATTTATAATTGAAGAAAGCATTTTAACTTAAATAGTATTTAAGAATAAAACTATACAATGAATCAGGAATTCATTTTTTTTGTGAAAGAATACGAAAGCAAAGCGCTTGTATTTTGCTACACAATGCTTTACTATTCTACTATACGTATGTATTACGAAATAACTATTAAGTCTTTTACACACTCTACAATAATCATTTTATATAAATTATAATTTATGATAGCATTACTTATTATTAGAGCAATCAAAATATGCATACGGCATGTTTTTTTTGTTTTTTGACTAATAAAGAAATAAATACTATTTAGATATAAATAATAAATATAATTTGTTTCATAAGAAATTATACATTTTGAGTTGTTACAACATATTTTACATATTTCACACATAAGAGCATATTTTTGCATATTTCATCATTTTCTAATTTAAGTTTATGATTAGGTTTTTTCTGATATAATAATAAATAGGATTTCTAAGATAAGTTTTTCTCAATCACAAGTATGCTACATATTTTATATTTTTGAAAAAGGAATTGATTAGATAAATGATTCCCACACGCCTGTATTGATACGCAGTGATATTAGAGAAATCAAGCAGAAAAAGATTTCGCACTTTTACGTTCAATCTTCTATACTTCTGTGTCATACAATACATAACATCAAAAACTCTCTCTCTCTCTCTCTCTCTCTCTCTCTCTCTCTCTCTCTCTCTCACTCGTCATTATAATAAATAATATGTATTTGTTTAATTTTAATGCCCCGTAAGACTAATTACATTTTTTTAAATGTAAACAAATTTTATCAAATTCATTTTACTTTGTTATTATAAGTAAAAAACTTAATTAATAATTTAAAAATTTGTGCGATAAAAAATAATTTTTAATATATATATA